CAGCCAGGTTCAGGAGCACGTACCCATGCCCACCTTGTACAGGTTCACCCTGGGAGCCAAGCCTCCAATCTTCCGGAGACTTCCAGCATTACAGAGCCTCGTACCATCTCTACAGTGGTGGGGTTAGATGACTGTGGAATTTAAGATGATTAATATGGTGGTATAGTGGAAGAAGAAAAAAAGTAGAAGCAAGGAGAGGGCATATATGTCTAGGGGTGACCTTTTCTAGAGTGACTTTAATGTGGAAGAAAAGAAGGAAGATAAGTAAACTATCATGGCTCTCTGATGAAGAGGTAGAAGGAAGGTCTTCATGAGGAAAGAAGTGTATACATTTAAGCATAAATATTAATTTGTTGCAGACTTGAGGGACTCTGTCAGGAGGGTCAAAGCTCAAATTAACTATTGTATTACAAATGATACTAACTCTGCAAGAATTATGAAAACAGAAAGAATATGTTGGGAGCCTTTACTCTGGACACATGATATAATATTGATGTTGAGAGAAAAGGAAAATATACCTCATTAAATTTTATTTTGATTCCAATTAACATGTCAAGGAGAGGGATTTTCAGACTGAAGGTGGGGTATAAGGTGGAACAAATATGGTAACAGCAGATAATTCAGAATGGGTGAAGAAATTGTAGGAAAGTATGGTTTAGGTGAACTGTATTTCAGTATTTTTTTTTAAGGGGCACATATATGTGAACAAATGGAATTTGAAATTTCAAGAGTGTACTTTTCACAGACTGCAAATCAGTGATCTGAATTAGGATTCGAGGGCAAGATCCTAGGATAGCCTAAGAAGGGAATGATTTTATGGGCTCCTGGAAGAGGAAATGAAGATCAGAAACAGGACACACTGATCAGAGTTTTTTTCTTCATAAGTTCCATGGCTTAGATAAAGGCAGTAGCACCTAAAAGGAGCACTAAGAGCCAGGTGTTGGAAACTAGAGAAGAGCAAACAAAGAAAGCATGAACTGGGGCCATTTAGCCTGGAGGAGAGAAGGCTTGGGAAGAACATGACGGTTATCCTGGAAGGACACGGGTCAGGCATTATCTGTGGGCATGTGGAAGGCAAAAGCAAAGGCCAGTGGGTAGCAGCAGCAGGGCCTAGGGTGAGGCTCAGCATAGGAAAGAACTCTCCAAGCTCTTCCACTGCGCTCATTCACCGTTAGGGCAATACTCCAGGAGAAATTCATGTATTGTTGTGTAGTTGACTCGAAAGTTCCTTCTGATTTTGAGATTTCTATGTTCCGGGGCGGTGTTGGCACAAACAGAAAGGGAAGGGGTGGAGGCATGGAGATAGGAATGCTGTTGGTAACAGAGAGAATTGGAAGAAGACAGAGGGAAGAAATCTAAATTACTAATTAAAAAAAATCTACAGAAAGAATCCACCATCTTCTTAGCCTGGAGGACCACGGCCATCCCCAAATGGCATAGGGCTGCCCAAAACAATTATACCTCAAAAGAGGCCTCTAAGCAATGTCTTCCATTGGATTTGGGGGATTTCATCAAGGGTAAGAATTCCAAAATAGAATTTTAATAATGTTCAGAAAAGAGAAGGGCTGTGCACCATTTGGACCCCTTCTTCAAACTGGACCCAAATCACAAGACTGTGGACCATGGAGTGGGCAAGTCACAGCCAGGGAAGCAGGCCTAAGGCACAGGCCAACAAAAAGTTTTTTAAAAGGCAAAGAACAAGGAAGGTGGAATAATAGAAGCCAGAAGAAAGATAAGGACAAAGCGAACAGGCACATCGTTGCTTCTGGACAGCTGCCTGGGCTGCTGAGGGCCTCTAGGGCACCTCCTCCAGGTGGTTCTTAGGAGAGAGGAGAGCTGGGAACCAGGAGACAGGCTGGGATGCTGGCTGTGCCTGGACTTCCTGAGTGACCTTGGGGATGTCATGTCACTTCTCTAATCCGTCCGTCTTATCAAATGCAGGTACCCTATCAGCCTAAAAGTGCCCTGGGCTTTAGGAAGAAAACAGCTTCAGAAATTCAAGATGCTGCATGCATGTGCGAGCTTACTTGTTTCCTACTTCCAAGGGGAGGGAGGACTGATAAGAGGAGGGCAGAAGGGAAGGAGAGAAGACACTGGCCAAAGCTTGGCTCTGCTTTAACACCCCAAGGAACCCCGAGTGTGAGATCCAGCAAAGGCCATATGCCTGCAGCCCCCTAGGCCAGCCAGGTAGCCAAGAACCACCTCCTCAGGCTCTGCCGACCGGGTCACCAAATCCCATTGCAGAATCCAGAGGCGAAAAGCAAGGCACGCCCCTCCCCCACTAGATGGCACTGAAACGCCTAGTTTGCGATTTTCAAAATGCAGGAAGGAGAAAAAAGACAAAAAGAATATGGTGGAGGTGCGCTGATTTTGGCTCACAAGCTCCGTTGTGCAAAGCAGGGTGCTGGGTATTCTTCATTTCCCTAGGGCAGCTCTTCACCCGGCAGTGCGGAAGCTGGACTTTGGAGAGAGGGTGAAAATGAGGCGTGAGCGTTAGAGTGAAAAATCCAGCGTTTGAAGCTGGGAGGGAGGTTCCCAGCCTTTGCGGCGTTGTCTCACGTGAGCAAAGCGGGTGGCGGTAGTGGTGGGGCGGTTGGGAAGAAGCGGCTCACTCCAGGCCCACCTGCTTAAGGCCTGGGATTCCAGAGCCCCTGCAAATCTACCCCCCACACATCAAGACAAATCCCACACCCAGATTTCCTCTAGCCCCACCTGCTTTTCTCCCAGCGCGAGCCACCGAGTGTGAAAACGACTCCCCTCCATTAAAATTCTCTTCGTCTTGTCTTGAATGAATCAGTGAAATTTGTGCTTTATTTTTCTGCGCAGGAGGGAGGGCAGGTGGGGGGCAGATGTAGGGGTAGGGGCTGATGTTCGGCTCGGGGCTGGGCTGAGGCAGGCAGTGCTAACCGCGCGACCGCTCTCTGTTCAGCTCAGGTTGAAACGCCTGTAGCCAGCGAGGTATCGCCTGTAGCTTTCAGAGAAAACAAAGATCAGGAGCAGCCCGACAGCTGTTACCCTAATCAGGGGCGCAGGGAGCTCGCTCAGCCCTTTTGCAAGCCAAGTCCGCAATAAGCGGTCTTTTCTTTAACGCACTGTGGTGGATTTGAGGTTGAAAAGAAAGAGGAAATATAGGCTACACCTCTAAATTTATAATAATGCATGTAAGCATGCTACATACCACATGTATGTATATGTGCATAAATACGAATGGGGTTGAACATCTATTTATATGGCACCATTGACTTGCCTGGTCAAAGAAGGCTTAGATACTTGTGCCTGGGAAATGGTACGGTTTTTCTTTAAGGAGGCTAGAAAAATAAGAGATGAGGCTCACGTTGCACGGATGACATCACTGGCTTTTGGCTGCGCGCTCCGTGTTCTCGTCTGTGGGTTTTAGCCAAGGCTGCAGCGCCCGGCGCCTCAGCGAGCTAGCGAGCGCGACAGCGGCTTCCTCCCGCGCCCGCACCCGGGCGATGCGATTTCCCGAGCCCTCTGGGCGCAGGCTGGACTTTGACTCCTCGCGGGCCCAGGCCAAGCCTGTGAGGCCTCTGAACCACCGTGGCTAGAGGGAGGAAGGGAGGAGAAAGCCGAGCGACCCAGCCTCCCTCCCCCACCTCGCCCCATTCACCTCGGCGACCACCTCGCACCCGGAGCCTGGTTGTGGGACGCCGAGGTCGGGACAGGATTCTTTGCTAGCCGCTGAGTGAGCCTGCATCTCGGCGTCTGGGTGGGCTGCGAAGATGATGGTGCAGTCTGAGAGCGGCTGACCCCAGTTGGGCAAAGCAGACCCGGTGCTCGAGTGACAAGGCTCAGGTGGCGGGAGAAGGGGCGGTTGTCTTGACCGGCTGCGGCGGAGGTTTTCCTCGGTGCCTGCAGCATTTTCTTTGCACTTAGGCAGCACACTCCTGGGGCTACCCAGAGCCAGATGAACTGAGGCGGAGACGACGCGGGAGAGCGGGTCTGAAGGCGCCCGGGTGGACACTCCTCTAGAAAGAAGACGGCTGTAGGGAGAGCGGCATGACGCCCCAGGGGCTGGCGGCTGGGCTGGCGGCGCGCGGAGACGGCGCGACCTGTCCATGGTGTTGAAAGCGCCTTGCGCCCAGATCCGAGCGCCCGCGCTGTGCGTCCTGCACGGCGCGCCCTCCACGGTGCAGCGGGTCCTGCACAGCCGCCAGCTGCCGCCCGGTCTTGGCAAACCCCGGGCCAGGACTGGTCCCGTAGTGCTGCTTGGATGACCGCGCAGTCGGTCCCAGGTGCCTCCTGAATGGCGACGCAGGAGGCAGGCGACAGGGAAGCTCGCGAGGAAAGGTCAGCTGAGACCGTGCGTCCGCAGGGAGCCCGCCTCTGAGCGCTGCGCGCCGGCCAGAAGGAGCAGGGACCTGCTGGTGACTAGAACACGGAGATTTTTAAAAGACTCGACTCAGAGAGGAAGAACATTTTTGGGTTCGCGCCCCGGATCTTCACCTGCAGACCGGAAGGGAGAGTCCCTGAGCGGGAGACCCGGGAGGTACTCAGGGCAACCTGTCTTGGCGACTGGAGGCTGCTTCCTTCGCTGGTTGGCCGCATCGGGGTCTTTGGGTTCGGCCTGTCTTCGAGCAGCTCCTCCTAACATCTCTCCCCGGCCAAAGCCAAGCGAGTCGGTCCAGTAGCCACGCGGCACAAAGAGACCCCAGTAAGCTTCACCGCAGTCGCGGGCACTTGGTGTTCAGCTTGTCACCCGAGGGCCGTGGCGCGCGAAGCCAGGCTGCGCGCGGAGGCGGCGGGTTCTGAGCAGTCGCTTCCTGCCGGGCGGAGAGGGGGCGGAGGCGGCTGTGTCGAGCTTGCCGCCGCCGGAGGCTGCTCCTAGCCCAGGAGGATCTCCAGGAGCTTGGGGGCGCCTCTCCGGATCAGAACTTTTTAGGTTGCCGGCCCCTATCCTTGCAGCCTCCGGGCCACGCACCTGTAGGCCGGGGCCGAGGAGGCGCCGCTGCGCGAGATCCCTTCCTGACCCCCCCGCGCCCCGCCGCTTTGTTCCGGGCGCGCGGAGGGAAGGCGAGGCTGCGGCGGATCATGCCCATGGTGTAGCCGCCCAGCGGAGGCATGGCTGCCGGAAGGTTACTGCTCTACACGGGCCTGTCGCTAGCGCTCTGCGCCCTGGGCATGCTGGCCGTGGCCATCTGCTCCGACCACTGGTACGAGACGGACGCCAGGAAGCACAGGGACAGGTGCAAGGCCTTCAACACCCGCCGCGTCGACCCGGGATTCATTTACAACAACAATAACAACTTGCCGCCCGGGGGGAGCCGCTCGCGCCTGGACCGCTGGGAGGGCAAACTCCTCCGGGCCCGGAATCGCCGGCAGCTCTTCGCCATGAGCCCCGCGGATGAGTGCAGCCGGCAGTACAACTCCACCAACATGGGCCTGTGGAGGAAGTGCCACCGGCAGGGCTTCGACCCAGAGATCGCAGCCCTCATTCGGAAAGGTAAGTGCGAGGCGTGGCGCTGCGGAGAGCCCGGCGCCTCTAGGCCCGCAGCCTTTCCCCGGGCACAGCCTCTCAGATCTAAGGGCGGTCGGGTTTTCCAGGCCTGGCCCAGCCTCCGAGTGGCCAGAACTTGCTTCTTGAATAATTGTTAATGAAGCGTGGTGGAGGCTTAACTCTCTCCCAGGCCTCTCTTGTCTTGTGCTTGCGTGCTGGGATTTGCATGGATATTCAAGTCCAGGGATTTCTATTTTTTTTTTCATCCAGGATAATGCTTCATGGGCCTCTGAGAAGGATGGGGATCTATAATGTGCTGCTTGCGCCTAAGGGAAGCCCTTTAAGAGTGATAGGTCAGGGTTAGATGCACTTAATTTTACTTAATTTTAATTTTACTTTAAGTTTACTCTTTGTTTTAGATGTCAGTCAAGGGACATGGGGGGCACATCTCCCACAGAAGACCTTGTCCAAACCGGAAACATTTGCTGAGTGCTATGCCATACTAGGGATGGTGCAGGCACTGGTCATACAAACATCAGTAACACACAACCCTTGCCTCAGAGCTGCCAGTAGCATCGTGTCACAATGTTTAATTTCTCCTTTTGAGAAAGTGGTTGACAAAAGTGACTTATGTGCACTGAATATTAGCAGGGTCTAATAAGTACCAAAGGAGTATTATAGTTCTTCAGGTAACACCAAAGTGGATAATTCAGAGAAGAAAAACATTATTTTCAGAAAATTTCTACAAAAAATACCCAAGGTATAGCTACCCAAATAAAAAACAAACTGCATTTGCTAGTGATCAAAATATACTTGATACTTTAATATAATCACATAATTTTTAAAAATCTGCTTATCTGGTGCAGTTTGCCAATTTTGTATGGTTTATATTTTAGGGACCATCCTGTTCCGTCAACCCACTGAAATATTGTTTGAAAGTGTATTAACATTGCATTGAAGAAAAAAAAAATGTCCCTTTTGGAGGCTGCATTTTGAGAAGGGCTGCAGATTTTATGAGTCTTTTTTTTTCCCCACCTATATTTCGTTCTCTTTAACTATTAAATGGTAATGCCAGGGTGACCATGACACTGTTATTTGCAAAGTGCTTTGAGGCAGGACATAAAGCATTTCTTAATGTCTCTTAGTATGGTGCTGCAAGGCTTGCTACCATTTTAAAATCCAATGTGAGAACTGATGCTGTTCTTTGATTTATAAAAGTGTTGAAATTGATCAGAAAAAAAATCAATACTTTGGAATAAAAAGTCAATTATTTAAGATTGGCAAGCAGTGCATACAATCTTAGAGGCCAGCTCAGATTTAGGTGAGGTAGGTCCAGAGAGAATCCATCTTAGTGTTTGTTTTGTACCTTCTTTAGAATGACTAGGGATTTTAGCTGATTTAGTTACGGGTGTGCTAATACTATAGGCCGCCTGTCTGCTTCATGATTAGGTTTTTATTAGAGCAGGTGACCCCAGTTGGAGCTCTCTAACTTTGTAAAAGATGAACAGGATATTAAGGGATTCCAAAAAAGAGCAACTTGGGCTTGGCTTTAGAAGTAGAATAAGCTTTTGACAACAAGTGACTCTACAGCAGTTTTTAGGTTCTCAGATTCATACAGTGTAACTCTATGGATCATTTTCTGCTTTCTTTAAAATGCAAAATGGTAGGAAGTTAGCTGAAATGTGAGGGGGAATTCACAGGAGTAATGACTGATAAACATTGGCAGGATTTGCTTAAGGACATTGTTGAGTTTTCTTCCTTGAATGCCTTCTGGAACAAGACAGGTATGTTTCTGCCTGGTATTCGTTAACACCACTTAGAAAAAGGGCATGGAATCCATGGCTTCTGAGGGTTCCATTTGGGGCTTTGATTCCATGTTGCTCTGCTTGGCAATCTGAGGAGAAAGGTTGACTTGGTCTGTGCACCAGAGGGGATTGGTTACCATGGTGACATGTTCTTCCGGTGAAGCTGGAAACACGGTGACAGGGAAAGGGACAGGGGAAGAATGTACAACATTTTGACTTTGTATTGACTGAGTTTTAATTGCAGCAACAGAAAATGGACATAGCACAGCGGGGGGATTGAATACACTGATACCTAGAGTTGGCAGGGTATTGTATTTCACTTGAACTAATGGAAATGCTGTTCCCCATCACCCAAAATACAGCAATCACTGTCAGCTGCAAGCACCCGCTTACCAGGGCCGTTTCTGTCCATTTGACATTCTCGTTAGGTATTAGTGAGATAGATGGCAGGCTGGCCTTACAAATCTTGAGGGACTTAAGGTCACTATCTTCATTTTTAACTTCAAAACACAATCTTTGAAAACCAGATCTTCCTTTCTAAGCAGAGTTCAACATTTTTGGAAATAGGTGCATTTACCTAGTAGAATTCACAGGCAATTTCAATAACATAAAATATAATCTCTGGTCTTAATTGTTGTTCTTAGATGGGCAGATTTTTTAAATAAAGAAGTTAAAAAAGCAAGATGGATATTCCTATTCTTAAGTTTAGGGCATCTTAGAGAAAGGTATTTATGTTACATTATTCATTTGAAGACATCAAAAGATGTCTTAGACATTGGTCTTTTTGGAAACATCGATTTAGATTAAAATTCTGGGAGATATGTGGAGAAAGGGCTTATCTTAGAGGTTTATCTAAATGATCATATAGTAATAGACTTGAAGAACGGAGCCATTTGTTAAATTGATGCTCATTACATGAAAATGTACTGTTTGCATACTTGAATGTAAAACAAAACCTATTTAATAACAGAAGCCAAAATTATATCTTATTTTAAGATAAAGTCCTTTGGATTAATGTTCTTTCTGAAATGTTCTTCCTTGATATTCTGCTGCCATGACTGTATCCACAAGTATGTGTTTCTGACCACTGTGTACGGTTTGGTTTATATTATTAAATTGTAAGCTCCTGGAGGGCAGGAAAGAAAATCATTTGTAAAGTACATTCACCAGATGCTTGGTACTTGGGAAATATCTTATACCAATTAGGATCACAGAAACAAATTTATTCATTGAGAACCTATTCTAATCATTGGAGTACTTGTGTGGTAATCCCAATAAAAGATTTGTTAGAAAATTAGTATTGAAATGAACTGGGCCCAGCCACAGTGGTGCATGCTGCTGAGATGCTGTGCTCTATAGGTTGAGACCACATGGGAGGCCTGGTTTGACTCTCGGTCCAACATGAAGACTGGGTGTGGTGCTGCATGCCTGTAGTTCCAGCTTGGTGTGTGTGTGTGGGGGGGTGGGGGCCTGAGGCAGGAGGACTAATGGCAAAAGAAATTGGTGGTCCAAAAAACAAAAAAAGGAAGCAGTATGGTTTATCAACTCAATAGTGTAGCAAATGCTAAATAATATACCACAACCACAGGAAGATTCTTGAGCAAAAGCTTTGCCAATTCTTTTTGGGTAGCATATGGCATTGAACAAACACGCAGTGATTATTTTTTATGTCAGATGAGGTTTTAATTATTTCCTTCTGGGAGGCAGGATTGGATAGGAGGGTGTGGTTAGGGTAGGTTGCTTTGAAAAATTCCCACTGGACTGTGTCTTGTCTTTTTTCATTAAAACCTCATCCATGCTCCATAGTAAGTCACTGTAGACATTGGCGACAGACAAATCAATGGCAAGATCTGTTTCTGAAATCTGAGAGACTTCCAGACCCTAAAGAGAACATCTATAGGTAGGATTTTGTTCCAAGTAACAGAATCTAAGGGACATTTATAGTCTCTGGTTTGTACTGAAATATTATATTGCTGTGGTTTGAAATACCTAGACTTGCAACTGATACTCTAAGAACTTATTATTTGAAAACTTGCCTTATAATTGATTTTGACCTAAATGGTTCCATAATCAGAGTAGTTGTCAATACTCCCAAAATTATTATAATTAATTAAAAAAATTTGCAAGAGGGTGCATGTTCTTGCCAGAGAGAGAGACTGAGAGAGAGAGAGAGTATGAAAGAGGAGAGAGAGAGAGAACGAGGGAATGGAAGAGTACCCCTACAGAGCATGGCCATGCCTCAAGCCCTTCTCTTCCATTTCTCTTTCTCTTTTGGGGGTTTTGGGCATGTACACATACACACATACCCAGCATGTTTCTCAAGTCACCAGGTCTGGGACTCCAGCCACGTAGTCAGTCATGTGGGATCCAGCTGCCTCAACCACCCTGCCATAGGCTGCCCCCCCCCATATTATTTTAATAATACTTCAAAATCAACAATTATTTACCACACATATATTATGTGATAGGCACATATTACTAAGCTGAAAGGATGAATAAGATCTAGCCTTCAAAATCCTCATAGTTTGTCAGTGACACAGAGAATGAGTGATAACTATAGGATGGTAAGAACAGCAACAGAACCAGATGCAGAGAAACACAGAGCAGACAGTGGTCAACCGAGTTGGCAGTGGGGTGAGGGAAGAGAGGAAGGGTTAGGGAAAGTTGTCCTGAGAAATAGCATCCGAATAGGATATTGATGAGGTGTGCAGGTAGATGGGGAGGAAGGGCAATCAGACAAAGGAGTCAGAGCCTGCAGCACCAAGGATGTGTGAAACAGCACCGGGCCTTGGGAGTTGCTGGCTTCTGGGGCAAAGGAGAAGATCAGAGCAGGAGCTGGAGAGCAGGTACCTACAGTTTAGGAGCTTGTATATCAGATTTCTTCAGCCACGCAGACCAATAGGGAAGCCACTAGCCATATGTACCTATTTAAAATGAAAGTAACCCAAATTAACTAAAATTAAAAATTCATTCTCCTTAGTTGCATTGGCCACATTACAAACGCCCAGTAGCGATAGAGAGCCAGTGAGTATTGTATTGTATGGTGCACATTGCAGTGAACATTCCCAGGATCATAGAAGATTCCACTGGATAGCACTACATGGAGCCTATAGTCTCTGAAAAGATTGAGAACACACTTCATTTCAAATGAAGCTAATTTAATGGGATTAAATTTAAAGTATATTATTCTACCCTATAAGA